TTGCAGCAAATTGCAGAAAATTGCAGCATTTTGCAAGCTGGTCGCGCATAGGGCAAGTGCGCGAGGGACTCGGATCGGCAAAACAAAAAGCCGAGCAACACAAGTAGAGCAGAAAAAGGATTGATAAATCAACACAAAAAAATACAATTAATTAATTATCCTATACATCATATCTAAACCCATCATTCATCTTAGGAAGCCTAGAAACAGTGCTTTAATCTGACAATTAAGAGTCTTAGTGCCTCCATCGATACAAAATGGCCACCCAGCCTCCTCGAGACGCGACAGTCGTCCTTCGAGACCACACCGACTACAGAGCCTGGATGATGCAGCTGCAATCGAGATGTGTAGCGCACGGCATCTGGCCGCAAGTGGACCCTAAGTTGACCATCCAAATGATCTCTAAACCAAGAGCTCCAGAGATGCCGCTAATAGCTAAGTTTTCACCAGCCTCTAACGTCAAAACGCCTACGCACCTAAATAAGCTATTAACAAGCAGTGTTAGAGCCTTAAAGAAGCTATTAAATACTATAAGATTAAGGCTAACAAGTACAAGAGTGACAAACATAATTATAAAAGAGAGTAATTAAGCCTCTAACAGATTATTGTCTTTATCTAGTTAATAGTTAGCCTGCATCTGCAGTGTACATGCTGTTCCCTAGATTAACTACTTAGACAGTGGATTACAAACCTTAAAGCTACAGTAGGCGTTAATAACTAATTTAAACAAGAATGTGCGCACAACTAATATAATGCATCTCTAAAGCTGCTAAGAAACGCAAGCATATAGGACCTATAGCTAGCAGAGTATGACTACGCTGCTACAGAAGCAGAGACACAAAATGTTCTAGAAACAACGCAGTTTAATGCTGTAGCAAAGGACTTTCTAACTGCTATAAATAAAGTTGCCTCTTATTAGTCTACAACTTTTTAGGAAAGTAGACAGTTTACACTAGACATAAATTAGAAAGAAATAATAAAGCGCTTTTAAAAACATATAATGTTAAATTATTTAATATATATAAAAAAGCATAAAGCTGCCTTTATAATAGATAACTTATTATACTTTACTAAAAGTAGAAAAACTACCTAGGGCATAAATAGAGATGCCTGTAGTGCAGAAGTTGCAATGTTAAGAAAATAAAGTAGACCTTAACATTAATATTATTAAAAAAATAATAGGAAGTTATTTTTAAGCTAAAAACCTACTAAAACAGAAAGCACTAAATGTCCTACATATAGACACATCTATGCACTAAAGAACTGCTTCTATGTTTATCTAGACAGAGCACTAGACTAGTAGATGCTAAATAAGAAAGTTAAAGAGCTTATAGCATTAAAGCATAAGCATAACTTAGAATTTTAAGGCTTACTAAGAGGGCAGCATAGACATAATTTAAGAATACTAATTCTAAAGAGTTTACATACACTTATGCTAGAGATATAAAAAGACTAACTTAAAGGCTAGAAAGTATTAAGAGTTAAGAAAGCTACATTACTAGCTATAGTTAATTTAAACTAAAACAGATATCTACTAAGAGAATTATTTATTCTTAACTTAGGCTTAATATGCTATATTATAAATAATCTTAATTAGATCTATAACTATTATTTACTAACACTAGAAGACTTTATCTAGTCTAGAAACTCTTACATATAGATTTAAAGCTATAGATTAATTACACTAAGCCTAAAAAGTAAGCATAGAATATATAGTTAAGCATACAGTCTTGTACTATATAACACTACACTGTGCCTAGACCTGCTGTGCAACCTAGTCTTATTCTGCCTACTGCGACAGAAAAGAATCTAGTAGGATACATAAGTAGAGCTAACTGCTTTAAAGGCTTTAGAC